TTGGAGGTATTACAATCAACTTTCAATTCCTTAAAGCTATGTTATGTTTAATACTTCATATAAGACTACCTTGCTTGAGGTATTTTGTTAGTGGAGTAGCAATTAAACTAAAATTTTTGATGAAACGCAAGTAAAAAAAGGTTAATCCAAAAAATCTTTGAACGTCATGAAGTGACTTTGTAACTGACCAGTTGATAATAACATCAACGTTACTTTGGTCCTCTTCAATTCCTTGGTTTGGCACAACATGTCCCAATAAGATAACTTTGTATGTCATAAACTCGTATTTCTTTAAGTTAACAAAAAGCTTTTGCTCTCGAAGTACTTCAAGATCTGTCATAAATGTGCAAAATGCTTTTTTTGATTTTGACTATATACCAAAATATCATCAAAATAAACAGCAACAAACTTCCCAATAAAAGGACAAAATACTTGATTTATTAGGCGCATGAAGGTGTTAGGTGCATTAGACAGGCCAAGTGGCAAACTTATTCATTCATATAACCCATCATGAGTTTTAAATGTAGTTTTCCATTTATTTCTAAGTCGTATTAGAATTTGATGATAACCATATGTAGATCAATCTTGGAGAAAATAATAGCACCATGCAATTAAACTAACAAATCATCAAGCCTAGAAATGGGAAAACGATACTTGATGGTGATTTTGTTCATGGCACGACAATCAATGTACATATGCTATGTTCTATCTTTTTTTGGAACTAATAAAGTAGGAAAAGCACAGGGGTTACCACTTTCTCTTGCTAGGCTTTTCTCCAAAAGTTATTTGACTTGACGTTGTAACTCTTTATAATGTTATGGACTCATGCGATAAGCAAGCCTATTTGGAATTACATATCCAAAAATGAGATCGATGGCATGTTGGATATCTTGCTTTGGTGGTAGTCCTTGGGGTATCTCATCAGGTATAACATCATAGAACTCCTCAATTATAAGCTTGACATCCTAGGGTAAGGATGACGATACTTCATTATTTTCACAAACTAATAAGAGATACAAGAGGTTTAACTCACGATGAGCTTTGTTTGGGCCAAGCACGAAGATGAGTGCTTAAACTTCCTCTTATCTTTTTGGTTGGTTTTCAGGCTTTAGTGGAGTCAACATAATTTTTATTTGATCCTTGATGAAGTAATAAGTATTCTTGTATTTGTCATGGTGAGCTTGACAATCATATTGCCATGGGCGTCCCAACAACAGCTAGCATGCATCCATTGGGATAAAATCACACCAAACTTCATCTTGATACTTATTTTCAATAGAGAATTGAACAAAGCAACGCTTCGTTACCTTAACTTCGTTTCCTTTTCTCAGCCATTGTAGCTTGTAAGGATGAGGGTGTGTCTTAATTAGAAGCTTTAACTTTTCCACCATGTAGTTGGCAACAACATTGTCACAGTTTCCACTATCAATAATGACATTGCAAACCTTCCCTTAGGATGTGTACCTTGTATAAAAGATGTTATGGTGAAGCTAACTTTTATTTTCAACCATTATAGTAGTGTTAAGGTTTCGACGAACAACAAGAACTTCTCCATGGTCAACAAGAATTTTTTCTGTCTTATTTTCATTGAATATTTCTAGATCATTCTCTACCTTTTCCATGATAGGTTTTTCCATAACTTCTTTTTCTACTAAGGACATAATTCTTTGATTTGTACAATAAAAAGCAATATGCCTAAATCCTTGACATTTGAAGCATTTCTTATTGATATTAGAAACAAGAGTAGAAGCAGTTTCTTTATTATTATTGTTTGCAGTTTTAGAAGAGGTTACCTTTAGAGGCGGGATGGTTACCGAACTTTATCTCTCACAATTTGAGGTAAAATTTTTTTGTCTAGATGAACTCACTAAGCTTTTCTGTGATCGTTATTTCTCAACCTTTAATACTAATTTGATGACATCATTTAAGTTTAACATGGTTGTAGTTGAACAACATTTGCAAGTTCATCATTGAGACCTCCAAGATAATGAGCTATAGTTTGCTTTTCAAGTTCTTGGACATTGTACTTCATTTGAAGTTGCTCAAACTCCATTGCATATTCTTCCACCGACATTGTTCTCTGTCTCAAGTTGTGAAATTTAATAAAAATTTCTTGTCGATAGTGCTTAAGAAGCAACTTACACTTAAGTTCCCAATGCATCTTATCCTATGTTCTGATCTTGTTACGGTCTTTCCTTTTTCGTTGCTGTTTGAGATTTTTCACCTGATAGAGGCGTGCTTCTTTAATTCAATTGCAACAAACTTCACACGTTTTTCATCAGGAATATCTTTGAGCTCGAAAACTCTTTCCACTTTGTGAAGCCAATCAAGAAAATCATTAAGGTGAAGCCTTCGTTCAAACTCAGGAATGTCTACCTTGATTCCTAAATCTCTATTAGCAGTAATTCTTAGACGACGTATAAGTACTTCTTCATTAGAAGACGATTCTTAATGGAAAGGATTGGAATTATCCTCTTCATCATTGAAGCTACTATGGTTGATTTGAGTAATATCACGTCTTGCGAGTTGCTTTTATAATTCTTGAACTTGGTAACATAATTCTTCTACCTCGATCTCATGAGCATCTCTTTGAAAATTTTGGTGTCTTCGTGATATTTTATTGTATGGTGATGACGATGTGGTGATGCAGAAAAAAATATGATAAAACTATAAAATAATAAAAAAAAACAAAATTACCCGAAAAAGGGGAGTCGAAACTTGAACTATGCAACCAACAGTGATTCTCCTGCTTTTATACCAAACTGATGTTGGAGCATTGTGAAGACACTTGGACGTTGTAAAGACACTTGGATGTTGTGAAATACATTAATCGTGGTAAGGTTAGAAACTACTAAGGTGAACACCAATTTTGGCAAGGTTAGAAAATCTCACTAAGGTGAGTAATGGCCAAAATCTCACTTTGATTGGTCAAATCAAAGATACTAAAATTTCTTACTTTTCTAAAAAGAGCTAGAAAAAATAAATACTCTTGCTTACTAAAGAAAATATTCTTTATTAATTCTCAATTTCAATGTGTCTAACAATTAAGCGAAGAGGGTTTTATATAACTATTTTTATCGAAAAGAGTCTTTTAACTTTCTCAAGTACGATTATTACAATTCTTAAATAAATAAATAAATAAGAAAATAACTTAACTTAAATTTAAAGTAAAAGATAATTTAGTCTAACCTAACTTAATGCGCAAGTAACCTAAATAATATACTCCTGTACCAACAATTCATCAATCATTAATAATAATGACTTATTTGACTCAAAAGAAAAGTATAAATGTTTTATTAAATGTAATAAAAGAATATATGTTTATTTAAATTTTCATGAAATAGCTCAGAGACTTTTATAACTATTATGCATTTTTTTTAATATTGGAGAAAAGAGATTTGAATTTTACTTTTTAGACAAGGAGATTATGTATCAACCAATGAACTAAATGCTCGGATGTAAGTCTTTACCACCACAACCAAGACCTTATTGATAAAAGCAAGTATCAATGATTCATCAATCATTAGTTATTTGTTTTTGTTTTTGAATTTTTAATCAAATATATTATTTTGTTTTTTCATTTTACACTTTTGTTTTTTTATATTTTTTAAAAAATAAAAGCAAATAACGAAATTAACAATTAAATGACTGACTGTTGTCAGTGGGTGAGAAAAAAAGAGAAACAATTAATGAGGCCGATTATATTTGATGTGGAAAGTATAAGTAATGAAAGTAAAATTAGCTCAACGAATTCATTAAATATCTCAATATGCCTTAGTTGTTAAGAAAGAGAGGAGACGCGATTAATGCCATCTCCCAAGCTTGTTAGTGCTTTTTGTTGCACTTTTTTTTACATTTGCTTTTCATTCTTAAAAATATTGGTATAAAATAAAAGTAAAACATAAAAAGAAATATCATAATCAATTTGGAATAGATAAATAATTAAAATGTAATTAACATCAATTACAATATAATTAATCTATATAAAAATAGAATCATGCGGTTTGTCTTCTAAAAAAATTTCATTTCTTTCAAAAAAAAAGTATTTTACTTTTGTATCTAAGCAGGGTTTTTATTTTTTAAAAGTAAAAAATAAATAGCAAAAACTTCGATCCAATAGAATTATTTTGACGTTCAAATTTCACGAATAGAAGTAAAGTTCATATGGAAAAATAAATAATTTCTCATTCTAAAATTTAACACTCAATAAGTTTTCTTATGAAAAAGAAATAAGTATTCATATGTTAAAAAAGAAAAAAGCTAATGCAATTTTCAAGTTATCAAGTGGCAATAGGTGAAAGTTCAAATCACAATGCTATTTTTATGATGAACAAAGGATTCAGATAGGTGGGGGAATTAATTTTATAGAAGGGATTCAGCATCTTGACAGGAATCTGAGCTGAATGACTTGTCTTTCACCTCACACAAGAAGTGACTTAGAATAACAGTTATTTGCTTGGGTTGACTGGCAGGCACAACAAGTCTCCTCCAGAAGTTCACACAATGGAAGCATTAACAAAGAAATTAATTTCTTTTCAGGTATTGTCCAATGAAACTAGAGCGGTGGACTTTCTCTTAAACCTCGCAGGAAGCAAACTTCGAACAGCCGTGCTGAAGCGAACTTGTTATGCAGAGAGCTTCCTGGTTTCCTGCTTAAGTTCACACCAGAAAATGTGGCCTTCAACACGGTTTGGAATTTAAAATGATGGACAGACTAGTTAAATACTTGTTGGACCCTCTTTTTGACAATTGGTCTCATTTAATGTCAAAGTTTCGGGGTCCCAATGTCGAACTCAGTTAAAACTCAGTGCCCTACAATGAGCCATACAAAAAATTACCGATAGTTATCAAAGCATGTTCCCTTATTTCACAAATACCTTCGAGACCACGTTTTCCATGATATTTTGTTTTGTGGGGAAGATACGATTACTATGGTGTTTCGCCAGCCCCAACTAAAAAAAATATTATAATAAGCATCAAGCTTGTCAAGCTTTCTCTATAAGTAGCTCATTCGGGTAAACTGGAGAACACAAACCGTCCTTCACAGTGGAGAGTTTTTCATTTGCTCACCAAAGATGGGATTAATCTCGGGGTTTTTAGGGTTTATGATCCTTGGTTCTCTGCTTTTCAGCAAGGCTGAGGGTGCTACTCATAACTATCTATGGGTTGTAAGTATATAGCTACTCAATATGCAGAATAGTCCTAGAATCTAATAAAATGTTGGGTTTGATAATCTTTCCGGGAATAATACTTGCAGGTGAAGGAGACTAATTTTACAAAGCTGTGTCACACATCCACAATTCTTACCGTGAACGATAGCTTTCCAGGGCCAGAGATTCATGCCAACAAAGGCGATACTGTTTTTGTCACTGTTCAGAATGATGGCCCATATGGTATCACTATTCATTGGTATGTTGATATTTTCACTCAAACAATCTCTGATGTTTAAATTCAAGAAGCAAAAAAAGGAGCACCAGATTGAGAAAATTTTGATATCTGCAGGCATGGAGTTAGAATGCCGAGGAATCCATGGTCAGATGGTCCGGAGTACATTACACAATGCCCAATAGAATCTGGAGGAAATTTCACGCAGGAGATCAATTTGTCGACGGAGGAAGGAACACTCTGGTGGCATGCCCACAGTGACTGGTCTCGAGCCACGGTTCATGGTGCAATCAAAGTTTTTCCGGCCAACGGAACCAGTTATCCGTACGATGAGCCTGATGGAGACCAAACAATTGTATTCGGTAGGTGGAACACTGATGATCAGCATGATTCAGAGCCCGCTGATAAGTTTAAATGAAAAGTTTTTCCCTATCAATTCTGTTTTCGTTGACAGCGTGATGTGTGTTACTAACTGTTATTCTTGGTGGCAGCCTCATGGTACAAATCGAATGTGATGGACGTATTAAATGAATCTCTGCAAACCGGCGGTGATCCAAACGTTTCAGATGCTTACACCATCAACGGTGAACCTGGAGACTTATATGCCTGCTCTAATGGTATATATATAAATCATAGCAACCCAAACATGGAGAATCCTATCGTTTGCCTTCTTATATCCATGATTTTTCTTTCAGGATTATCTCTGCTTTTGAGTCCATACAAATAAATACTAGTATAACTTTAAACATGAAAGTACTCTTGTCAGATAATAGCGAATTAGGGAGGAACACAGAGACTCTAGGACCTAGAATTCTGTAGACTGTACCGACCACAACTGGCTGGTTATTGCTAAGCTAATGGGTGGTTGGCTCATGCACTCTTGAATTTTTCATAAAATGCATTTGACTAGAAAAAAATCAGATTACTTACAGCAGGGTCCATCTACTTTTAAAATCTCCTGTTTTGGTAGTATAGTAGTGATCGAACTATCCAATTATAATCCTTTTGGCGTGAGATTGATAACTTTTGGTCAAGATAGATTGATAATTTAATTATCTGGTTTATCCTATCAAGATTTTGATTTCTAGACGTTAATTCAAGGTCAAAAGGGCACTACCTAACATTCAACTTGATGCATAACGTAGTTCATTTTATAAAATTTGAATTTGGCTCAAATTAGTAGTGCCAATGTGGTTCGTCTCTGGTTGCAGAAACAATGTACAGTTTGTTGGTTGAGAAAGGCAAGACTTATCTCCTCCGCATTGTCAACTCTATCCTGAATGAAGAAATGTTCTTCGCGATTGCAAACCACAACATGACCGTTGTCGGATCCGATGGAGCATATGTCAAACCCTTTTCCACTGATTATTTGTTCATAACCCCAGGCCAAACAATGGACGTTCTGCTTACAGCAAACCAAACAGCAAGTTACTACTACATGGTTCTTACTCCTTTTCTTGATACTGACTCTTCGTATGACGACACCACCTCTAGGGCACTCATCAAATATAGTGGAAATTATACAACGCCAAGCACAATTCCTACTCCGACGTTTCCTAATATCAGTGACTCAATATCTGCACAACTCTTCGTTGTTCGCTTGAAGAGTTTAGCAGATGCAGCTCACCCAATCAGTGTCCCCAAAAACATCACTAGACAAATCTTCATGACAGTATCTGTGAATCTGTTTGCTTGCCCCAACTCAACAGGTTGTACCGTTGATGGCGATAATAAGCTGGCAGCAAGCTTAAACAACAATAGCTTTATGACGCCGTCAACCTCTCTACTACAAGAATATTATGACAGTAACTATAATTTGAACGATCTTGTTGCTGAATTACCGAATAAGCCGCCCACTCCTTTTAACTACACAACAGTGGTGAACATGTCTGCATATACAGAGGAAGGAAGGCGGGTGATAACATTGAATTATGGTGATGAAGTGGAAATTGTGTTCCAAGGGACGAATATAGGAGCGACGCAGAATCATCCCATGCATCTTCATGGCTACAGCTTTTACTTGGTTGGAACAGGTGCCGGAGATTTTGACAATGGCACTGACCCTGGCCGGTTTAATTTGGTTGATCCACCAGAAGTCAACACCATTGCCGTCCCTAGAAAAGGATGGTCTGCTATTAGATTTAAAGCTGAGAATCCTGGTATATATTTCTTGTCTTCTCTCTTCCTACTAATATACTTACATAACATAACATATCTGATTCATGCACTAACCCCCATGTTTATTAATTTTCCTTTTGTATCAGGGGTTTGGTTCATGCACTGCCATTTCGAGCGGCATACCATTTGGGGAATGAGCACTGCTGTTATAGTGAAGAATGGAGCCACCAACGAAACAAGCATGCGTCCACCACCTTCTTTTATGCCTCCTTGTTCTTAATTTTTCATCACTTGAGTGCGTCGTATTGTTAACTTCGAGCGTGTGGTGCATGAGAGACCCTCAAGCTCCCCTGCACTTGCTTGTGTCTCTTATTTTCATAGTGACGTGCAGCCTATGCATGCACATACAAGATGTATGCCTTCTGCAGTGTGTTAGATATAGCAGAAGAGTTAATAATGTTGTGTTTGAATCATGCATTGAAGTGTTTATTGCTTATTAAGTAGTGTACAAACTCTTTTAATTAATGAAAATTCTGAGTGTTAGTTCCCTTCCTCCAAGTTCTTCTCTCTGTTTCTCTGTTAGCTTATTGCCTTTAAACCTTCACAACAAACCAATGTTCATTCTTTGAATTTTTTCTTTTTTTTTTTTTGCTTAAGTCATTGAGAAGCTTTCGTTAATGAAATGTAAAAGTAGAGCCAGCCTATTGACTAAACTAAGGAGATGATGGTAGCCATGTGTGGTACAGGAGGCACATGACCAGGGTCAAAGTGCCCACAATATGTGATTGCGCGCATGTTTTTGAAATTACCATGTAAATGTACATGTCATTACCAAGTAATATAATAGTAAATAGAGTATTGAATCTCACAAAGAATTATATTAATTTTTGCTAAATATTAAAATTATCACAAACCATTCTAATTCAAACAACTGAAACAAAATGATTAACTAAAAGCAAATCTAACATTAAACAATAGCTAAATTGAATCTAAAAATTGATGACAAATATTAACTAGCAAAATTAATTAATAAATAAGTTTAGGATTACAGTATCTCTCGACACTCTATTTGAACTTTGTCATTCTCTTGACTTACTAAATGGATTGAGTTGCTAATCTAGAGTTTTCAAATTATTTCTAAGTCTCTTTCGATGTTCTTATAAAAGTATTTATTTTAACCAATGCATTATATTCTTATGAGAATTGAATTAAAGACACTCATTAAGCTTATGCTCTAATTTTGTCTATATAAGACATATAGGTATATTTCTATCGTATAAGTAAATCAAATTACCCAATCAACTAAGTGAATTTGAACTTATGCTATTCCATCCATGGCCTATTCTAAACTCCTTTTACCATGTTGCATTTAGATTTTTAGATTAATCTAATTGGTAATTAAGCAATTAAAAGCATTAAACACATGACTAGAATGAACTACATGTTGAGTTTAATTGTAATCCTAGATAAAGAAAATTAGTTCATGATGAATAATAAAAATACAATCCAAAGAAATTTAACCATAGTAACAATTCAATAAAATCAAAGAAACAAAGAAGAAAAGAAAACTAAAGATTGTCAAGTCTTCGATCTTCCATCTTTTAAGTTTTTCTTTGTTTTCTTGAGTGCTTGACAACTCTTTTACTTTAGAGAAAAAAAACCTTTTTTTTATAAGTCAAAGTCTATAAATTGCCTCAAAGGTGCCTTTAAATTAGCTTAAAAAAATCTAATTTTTATAAAGTTTGAAAAAACCTCGACGCCACACTTGTTGTCTCCATTATACACTCTGTTGCACTTAATCAATTTGTGATGCAGATTTCTTCTGGATCTAGGCTGAACTAAGCAATGTGGTAATACAAAAGTTGTAGTCTTATCTCTTAACTTTTCAATGATTTAAGAATCAATTCAATTGAACATCGAGAATGAGAATTATGCTCAAAATACTCAACATGTATGAGAGAAGCACTGACCATCAATGCATTCTTCTTCACCAATTGAAGCCGTTTCATTTGTACACCTACAAACGCATAAGACTAAATCAATACTAACTAAACTAAAATCAATTTAACATAAAACTAAAATAAAACAACTTAACGTGATTTAAACTAAACTAAGAAAAATAACTAAAAACACCTAATTCCAAACCTATATTTCAACAACTTAGCCAATTTAATGCCTAAAATGTAATTAAATAACTCCATGAAATAGAGTTATTACCGCATTGTCAGTGGCTATATGCATTGAATGACTTTAGATAGCTGGGCTATCATGTTCTCCTAGGGTCAGAGTACCCTCAGATTGTTATTGTGATCTTCTTGAGTAGGCTCCACAAATGAAAATGTTTGAAACGTGATTGAACTTAGAATTTGTTTTTATCTGTCTTGTGTAATGATTTGGAAAAATATAAGTTTGGGAATGTAGATTGACATGATTTGTGATTAAACTTTGACTATTTTGAATGAGAGATGTTTAATCCTCTTGCCAGAGTTAAAAATATGAAAATTTACAAGTTTGGGAGCCTCCTCGAACACAAAGATTGATCCCTTAAGCATTAAGGTTGCTACAGCACCAATCGAAAGAAGAATCTGGTCACGTCTTCGTGACACTAGTGGTTGGATAGCTATCTCTTCTCGAATTTACCACGTAAGTGCATATATAGTTAATAAGTAATATAATAAAAAATAAAGTATCATTCCTACTAGGAATTACACAAAAATTTTACTAATCACTAAAATTAACACAACTTAATCTCATTCAAACAACTAAATTTAAAATTACTAAAAACTAAAGCAACACAAACTAATAACAAGAATTATAATTTAAAATTATAAAAATTAATTAAACAAAGTTTAGAACCACAATATTCCCTTAACATTTCATTTTAATTTCTTTTACTTTCTCTTTACTTACTCTTTACTCACTAGGTAATTGTGTTGTTAACCTAGAACTCTAATGTATTTATAAGTCTTTTCTGATGTTCTTATAAAAATATCTATCTTAACCAATCTATTATATTCCTATGCAAATTGCAATTAAGAAAGACTGATTAAGCTTAGACTTTAATTATGGCTATGTATGACATGTAACTATATTCCTATCCTACATGTGTTGTCGATTTTGCACATGCAAGTTTATGTATTGAACAAGTAATATAGACAGCAAGACTAAATTATCATTCCCACAAATATTTGTTTCTAGAGTTCACTAAGTATTAAAATTATATAATAAATTAACCTTATTTAAATTAATCGAAAATTGAAAAGCTAAGCAAAGACAAAATTAAAAATACACGATAAATTAACTAACAAAAACTAAATATGTTGAGAAAAGCATAAGATTAAAGACCTAGGATCATGGGTTCATTTAGCATTTCACCTGATACTAGCTTTTCTTGTTATTTATTTTTCATGGGTGATTTTACTAACCTAGAATCCAAAGCCAAGGACAAGTCTCCGACAAGATACTTATACAAATACCTAACTTAATTAGTTCACTATATGTCTATAGGAATCAATTAAATTAAGTTCATTAGGTAAGTGTCCTAATTTTGCTATGTATGGTAATTGGCGTATATCCATTCGAATCGCTAATCAGATTACCTCAGTGACGTAAACATACACTACTCAAACCTTATTTTAATATAAAATCTATTTGTCGAGTCTCAATTAGATTCACAAATCAATTAATTATTGATCAGGTAATTAAAGGCATGAAAAACATATTTGAATAAGTAAAACGATACCCATTCATGATAAATAACCAAATAAAAAAATTCAGACTACATGTTGAAATCTACCATAATCCTAGATAAATAAATTAGTTCATAATATATATACAAAACACTATCCAAGGAACTTTAGCCATGAATTCAAAACAAGAAAAATAAAAATAGCATAAAAGGAGAGAAATAAACTAATGTCATAGCTTGGTTGATTGTTAATCTCTCTCAATTGCTCTTGAATTCTTGATTGATTTGTAGCTCCAATTTCCTAAAAATGCTACTGCTATCTCTTCTTTCTGAATGCTTTAAAAAAGGCTCTTAAATATTTGCAAGATGCCCTACTTTCCAATTTTCTATCAAAATTTTAATTTTGGAAACTAAAGTGGTGCCGTGACAAGTTTTGATAATGTCGCGGTACTCCTTTTTTGGCACTGTGGTACCATGTTCTTGCCCTCTAGTATGATGCACTCATCAAGCTCAACACTGTGACCATGATTCTCTAGCACTGCAACGGTGGTCCCATCAGCTCCACTGCCTTGAGTGACTCAACGTCGCGGCTTCAATCACCATGCTACCTTGTTTGCAGTCTGTATCTATTTATAATCTTTGGATGCAATTTTTACCTTAATCTAGTTTGAACTGGATGAAGTAGTAAACACAAAAGTTGTATTACATTCTCTTAGCTGTTAAATGAATTAAAAATCACATCACTTGGACTTTTGCGATACAAATTGTCTTTAAATTATTGCAGCATGTGTGAGTGACATTTTCACCATACTAAATCTATCATAACTCAATTTCACCTTGCCCATCACATATCCTACACAAAACCATAAGAGAAATTGACATAAACTTTTCTTAAAGTAAATTAAAATAAAATAAAATAAAACTAAAATAACTTAATTTAACTAATCAACAAGTAATCTAACTTAAATTAGACAAACACCTAAAATACTAAAATCTGAACCTAAAACTCAAAGGCCTAGCAACTAAAGTCCCAAAAATATGTTTAAAATAGCTCTATATAACATAGTTATCAACACACGAATCAAATCAATCATCTCATGAAATTGATATTGAACGTATGCTATTTCATCCAAGGCTTACACTAAGCTCTCTCTTCTAGTTCTATTTAGGTTACCCTATCTGTCTCATTAGTGATTCAGCAACCCAATGCATTAAGCATAGGATTGAAATAAATAACTTAAACACTATCTATCTAGTTCTGGAAATGCTTCCCACTTTTTGGCACCTATCACAATGCAACACAAAATTATGAGCATCTTGGAACAATGATGGCCAATACAATCCTGATTGAATCACTTTGGCCATTGTTTTGTCCCTTCTAAAATAACCTTCATATTCTGAAGAATGACACTATCTCAACATGTTTTCAACTTCTTCCTCTAGAGCGCACCTTCTTATAATTCTGTCAGCACCTTGCTTAAACAAAAATGGTTTATCCCTCATGTGATATTTAACATCACGAAAAAGTTTCTTTTTTTTGTTAAAAAGTTAAATTTGGAGGTAAAATTTTATTCACAATGAAGTTAACATAGTCAGCATATCATGCTAGTTTCTTATGACGAACATGCAACAGTTGTTCATTAGGGAAAGCTTCATTGATCAAAGTCATATCCTTACCTCAGCTGTTATGCTCTAGCCTTGACAAATGGTCAGCTACTTGGTTTTCTGAGCCATTCCTATCTCTGATTTCCAAATCAAATCCTTATTGTAGCAAAACCCATCGTATTAACCTTGGCTTGGCATCTTTTTTGCAATTAAATACTTGATTGCAAAATGATCAATATAAACAATAACTTTAGGGCCAATCAAG